ATAGTTTTTCGAAACTATCAAAAACTATCGATGGTTCCACTATCGATAGTTTTGCGACTCTGCTGGCAATCGCTACGCTAAATTTTCGTCGCTAAAATTTTCTAAATGAAAAGCAGTAGGGCCTAAATGTATACAACATGAAAGAGTAACACATGCAATGAGTAATCTGCCAAATGTGGCATTGTGGCGGGCATTCAACTAGATGTTGCATATTGTTAGGGGCCTCTGCTGTTATTTTGAAGATTTCTGGCGATCAAAATTAGCGATATCTTATGTTGGAATCCGGCTGCTTATGGCCTTAATTTGCGGGAAATTTCTTAGTTTTAACACTATGAGTTAACTTTGTGTTGGTATAAGTCTGACTGCTTATTGTTTTAAAAAAAATGTTATTACTCCAGAATGTTTACTATCATAGCGACGTTTACCAAATTTACTAATTATATACTTACATTAGTAGAAGAATAGTATAAGAGTGGTTGTTATTCTGCAAATTATTATTATTCTGTATGGTTCCTTACGAAGACTATTTTATGATTCCGTAACTTCCAACAGAACACATATCGATCGGAGGGTTCGGGAGCCCTGAAAAAAAATCTACAAATTATTTAATAAACAACTGCTGAGGCTTTTAAGTTTGCTCGGTCTGCAAAACTCTCGCGTTGTGCAATGCCAGTATATTTGAATCATTTTATCATCTTCACTTGTCCAGGCCCTACTGTGATTGCCAACTCTATCTAAACTACAATTTATCTATTTGGTATCAAATGAAACGAGGAAAGCCAGCGGAAAGCCAGCTATTGAAAAATATTTCAATAAATAATGTTATTTAATTATCATAGAACAAACCTTGGGCCAAATATATGAATTTCTTTTGAATTAAACTATAAAAAAAATATAAATAGAGGTGGTAACCTTCGTACGTTATTTCTGTTATTTAAGTCCTTTTTCATATGATAACCAAGTTTGTTTAATTTGGATAAGCGGTTTGTTAATTATGCGGAGTGGACTTTTATTGTGGACTTTATCTGGCCAAGTTTAACTGTTGAAAAAAGTAACTGCTATTTTCGGTACCTGATTCCTTGTGCTAAACTCGATATTTGGGGGTTGAAAATTGTTAAACATTGGTACTTTTCAAAACGTTTGCATTGCCCCGATCTATAATAAATTAAATACCCAGTAAATACAAATTGCGCAATAATTGTGCAATTTTAGTGCAATTCTCGTGAGCACTCACGGAATTGCGCAATTATTGACCGCATCTGCGTCCGCGGAATAGCGCAATTTTTGTACAACTCAATTGTTTCATTTTGTCAATGTGATTATGGCTTATTAACATGTTATTTTTAATATTTTTATTGAGCTTTGTACCACGATTGTTATTAGGAAAAATTTAAAAAGCAACAAAGCCTAAGTGGTAGAAGTTATAGCAGCTATTTCGGAGATCACTACATCTCCTCATCAGACTTCTATTTTCTAGACTTCAGTTTCATTTTATTTTTCCAATTTCTTGTTCACTCCAGCTTATAATCGCAAATTTTCGCCATATTCGAGTATATGTAATGAAATGTTCTTATCATATTAATGTATGCTTACGTATATGTACATAGATACATAAGTATAACAATAATTTATGACTAAAAGCGAAAATCAACCAAAAATCAACAAAATAAAATGAAACAAGTAAGAAAGTCTAAGTTCGGGCGGAGCCGAACATTAAATACCCGGCGCAAGTATTAAATATATGTTTTTCCACCTTTCCGAAAGCTATCGCTAGATGGTAAGCCGGGGTGTACCAATTTTGAGTAGCGTCCTTAAATGTCGAAATATTGCAGTTTCAAGCATTTCTGAAATTTACCGTTATATGAAAAGCGGCCGTAATATTAGTCCGATTTCAATAATTTTCAACGTTTTGCTTTTATGTGGCAAGCACAATAAAAACACCGAGTTTGGTACAAATTGGTAGAACGGTTACCGATATACATATATGTGATCATAAGTGGGCGGTGCCACGCCCATTTTCCAAAATTTTACCATAAACGTATTTCTTGGTAAAGAATTGTTGCAAGCATCAATTTTGAATAAATTAGCTTCAATATTTA